TGTGGGGGTGTGGGGTGGGTGCGGATGTCGGCGTGAAGGAAGGAAAAACATCACCCACACCCACACCCACACCCCACACTCTTGTTTCTGAAAGCTATACTCTTAATCCACAAAAATTACAAAGACGTGCAGCACATGACCTTGATATCTCACGTTCAAGCATACGACGTATCATGAAAGAACTCAATTTTAAACCGTACAAACCGAGATTATTACAGGCCTTAAATGAAGATGATCCTGATCGACGACTTGAATTTTCTCAATGGGTTTTAGATTCAATTCGAGGAAATCCCATTATCTTAGATCGGATTCTCTGGACCGACGCAGCTATATTCCAAACAAATGTTCGTGTCAATAGACACAATTGTGTTTATTGGAGTGATACAAATCCACATTTTATTATCGAACAAGAGCTCAACGTTTCACGAGTAATTGTAAGGGGAGGAATATGGTCAAATGGAGTTGTTGACCCATTCTTTTTCGAAGATAATGTTACATCACAAATCTATCTTCAAATGTATAAAATGCTAAAGGATAGAAAGGAGTATATGTAAGTATACAATACTAAAATTTTTCTTCTTTTCACTTTTCGATGATTTTAATATCATTCAGGAAAATATATGAGGGTGTGAGTGTGGGTGTGGATTCATTTTATTGGATAAGTTGACTTCTGAATTCTGCCGACAAATCCCCAGCCTGCACCCACACCCATACCCACACCCACACACCCACACCCACACCCACACACCCACACCCACACCCACCCACACCCACACCCACACCCTCTATTCGTCATCCATTTACATTTCGTTATTAGTTGTTCCATTACAATGATGTAGCTGTTGTATTGGCATTAAAGAGTATTCGTGTAAACATTCTATTGGTTTAGCAATTATATTTAACACATATTAAATCAGCGACAAAACACGTATTCAACCATTAGATAAACGAAAAACAAGAGAACATCTCAAGAAAGTTGGCACGGCTTTAAATTTGTAAACACAGGGTGTCTGGAAAGTCATTTAACTAAAGTTTTTTCGTATGTCTTTGCTGTTTCATTTAACATTATCAACAATTTTTTTTAAAATTATAGGCGAATATACCGAGTTTTTATTTATCCAAGCGGCTTTCGATATTGCCCTGGAAAATTATTATCTTTGATTGAAATACAAGAATTTTGCTATTTTTGTGAAACGCAAGTAATTCAGAATTTGATGGTGTTTTTTCTTTGACATTTTCAAATAGTTAGATAGAGCTTCTCGAGTTCTACAAGAATATGTATATTGAAAATTTTTTACGCTTTTTCTTTGAAGAAAAATTTACAGAGAGCTACTACAGAAAGAGTAAATAATTAAAGAAAAAACGTTGCATAATGTCCTACTCGCATCTCACAAAAATAGCAAAATTTTTGTACTTCGATCAAAGATAATAATTTTCCAGGGCAATATCGAAAGTCGCTCGGATAAATAAAAAATCGGTATATTCGCCCATAATTTAAAAAGAAATTGTTAATAATGTTAAATGAAACAGCAAAGATATACGAAAAACCTTTTCTTAAATGACTTTCCTGACACCCTGTACATATTAATAAAAATAAGATTATTGTTTATTTTGTACTTTGTATTTTACTTTGTTGAGAAATAAAAATATGAGATGTATTCTAAAAAATTTGGTGATCAAAAATATCCCTTTTTGGGTGATCATTTGTATCTAACAATTTTCGGTGATCAAAAATATTGCTACTCAAGTTTTATGAATGAAAAACTATGAATTACAGACGTTAAGACACTTTTCATTTTTGTGTAGATCGAGATTAAAATAATTGGCTTTGGATTTTAAGAAGTTCGATTGGAGCAAATATGATCAAATATGAGAGAGAGACAAGGGGAAAATAATTTGATAAATAAAAGACGTTTGTTTCATAAGCGTCGTGAATACAAAAATATGAGTAAAAAATTAAAAAAACCATATTCACACTAAATGTCAACCGAGATTTTCAATTTTTTTATTGCTCTATTTTAATGAAAACGAAAACGTTTGAAATGAAAATTTGACCACGTTTTCATCTCATAGAGTATCGTAATATCTCAAAAAATCAAGCAAAAATCGTTCACTGTTTCGAAAAAAAAATTCAGTTTTACACAGAAAGTGTAGACCGACGTTAAAATCATCGGAATTATATTTAAAAAACCTTCACTGAATATCAAGAGAATAGCTCAGGAGAAAAAAATGTGCCACTTAAAATCATTATTAGCAAAGTGTTTATGGGAGTAGTTCATACACTAAGTATATTAAAAAAATGGATGTAATATATAGAAATTGGCTGTAATATCATGAATCTCTGTCACAGTACAGGAAAGTGTTAGCAAAATATTATTTTTATACATACTCGACATAGCCCGATTAAATACAACAATTAACTTTTATCATTAAATTTATTTTTTTTTGGACTCTTTTATCCAAATGTTACAATAGGCGTGCTCTTAACTTAGATATGGGTATTGCATATTATGATGTAGGCTGTAAAAGATTGCACTGAATGAAAATAATGAGTAATTCAATAAATACAAGCAAATTGCTACACTTCCTTTATCTACTATGTTTTTTACAGATATTTTTCTCTGTAATAAAAGTCAATCTTTGCACAACCTTCTTCGGTTCGAATAAGCGGAAAATAAATTTTATTCGAATTAATATCTTTTCTTTTTACATACATATATTTTCATAAGTAAGAGACAAGAATATGTAAGGGAAATATAATGAAAAAGATGATGAGATTCAACGTTTTCTTTTACTGAAATGTCTTTAAATTTAAAGCTGAAGAAAAAAGCATGATAATTTATTCATATTGTCACGGTCGGATAGGAAAGCATAAGAGAAAAGAATAAGAAAAAAAATATACATTAAAGTGCTATCTAATAAAGTTAAAAATATTAAATGTGTATATGAATGAAAATCGCTTCCGAATATTTGAAACAGAACCAATTTCATCACTGATAGCTTATAAATAGTTTGCCCGTAATCTTGTTTTTAGTTTATTATAATATAAATTTAGATAAGTTTGAATTATTCTTCTCAATGTCTTAAACAAGAGAGTGCTAGTTTTCACCGAGTTGGGAAAGAATATTGAAAAATACAATTGTAGACCATAAATAAAATAACCTTCCTTGAAATAAAGGTAATTGAAAAGTGCCTGTATTTTCATCAACATAATGGAAATAATTTAAGAAATTATTTCTATGTTGTTATGTGTGACTTTTATGGAAACATTATTCAATCTTAAGATAGTTTTTTTTTTCATTCTTACGCCTTTGAAATCAGGGGATTGATCTAAAATTTTGCAATACACTTATTTTTGTGTCAGAAAAAAAAGAAACCAGTCACTTCTTGATTGTAATATCAGCGTTGACATGATATGAAAAACGTTATTATTGTATAAATGCCTATTCAGAATCATTTGTTCATTTTCTTACAAAAATGTTTTTGAATACTTTCTATTATTCTCCTGCTTATACAGTATTCTAAATAATTAACAACGAAAACAATACCTTTGTTTTTCTAATTTAATTTGAACATCGAAGTTTAAATAATAAAATCCTAAGTTTGAGTTTGTTTAGAATTACCAACAAATCAGTAAGTAGCACGACAAGTCTACCTTTCAAAGTCCTCGAAGGTAAGTATAGTTTTATCAATGAAAAGGAGATATATAAAATAGTCGATCGTAAATCTATTAAGAGAAGGTCCCTAAAAATTAAGCACTATCAGGACAAATATAGACTACTAGCGCGAACCCGTGCATACTGCACGGCAATGCTGTTTCTTTAACATACGCTCTCAAAACTCTAGTCTTACTATCTAATCGCTTTACATCCTGATAGCGTTTCCCTTTTTCGCTCTTAAAGGGCACTCACCCTTACAGTCTTAGTGCGTTATATCCATACTCTCTCGTTGCATCTCCCTTTTTACCATATTCCATTATTTCCTTACCTCTTTATACTCTGAAAGGCTTATCCCTTTATAATCTTCTTCCCTAATACTCTTGTCCCTTTATTGCCTGACTCCCCATA